GTGGTACAGTATTGAATAGTTTTGTATACTCTACTACAGTATTGTTTTGCAGTCCTGTACATTATATTATAGTGTTGTATATTATAGAGTAGTATTGTATAGCAAAGTGTAATATGGTATATTATAGCATCCCTGGACAATGAGATATTTTAAAGATTTGGGAATAAGAAGAAAATAACCTTCTGCAGCAACACCACATGTCAATGCACTGTTCTGACCACCCTCCTACTTGTAAAATTTCTTTACTGGCTCATCAGGATGTGGAAGGCAGAACAAGAAGTGCCACTGGGAATTTTCAGCTGAGCCGTATCAATTCTCATTCACCAGCCCAGTCATACCTTTATCCTACATGCATATAAAACGGCCAATGTCATTTACATGTCGTTGGTACTCATGTGCCACAGCTGTTTCCTTTATCTGATTGTTTTGTGTGTGTTTGTCAGCGTGAGGGGTTTCGGGGCTGATGGGGGGCAGCTGCCATGACGGTCACCACTATGATCCCTTGCTCAGAAAATGCGTGGAGTGTCTCAAGTTTTGTCGGCAATCGTATGTACCCAGCAAATGTGCAAGTTACTGTGGTGAGTACACACATCAACAAGGGCAAAAGAATAGTTTTACTGAAGCTGTAAGGCTAACTGTGTAGCTGATTTTCACCTCCTGTTCATGCATTCCCATCCTACGTGTGTGTCTCTTGCAGTATTTTAGATAATGATGAATGGATTTGATAAATTGGGTAAAAAAAAAAAGAAAAACGAGTCACTGTAGCAATTTTTAACTGCCCTAATGGCAGGTGCAGTTGTTTAAGTGCTCGTTGCTTTTCACTAAATTTTATTCAATTTAAAACTCACATTTTTAAATCTAGCCAGAGTTGCACCTTGCTATCACACTTGCATTACATAAAGAATGTATGGACTTGGTTTGATTCACGGGTTATAGCAAAAATACTAAACAGCTCATCACTACTGGCAGCACAGGAATTACCCAGTCTATCTTATATCCCCCACTTCTCCTGATCGTTTTCACACAATATGCCCTCCTATCTCAGAGGCTGCCCATTGCAAGGCCGTGCCTGGCCACTACTTCGACCGGCTGCTGAAGAAATGCATCAAGTGCACAGACATATGTGGCAGACACACAGCAGAATGCTCTCAACACTGCCAGAGTGAGTACTGACCCCTCTTCCCTGGATTAGAAATTGAATAATTTAGTGACTTCCTTTTTTCTCTTGTTTTGTTAGTGTCTGTTAAAACTCTGTGGACAAAGTTTCCGAGAAGGAAGTTGTGTAGTATCTCAAAAGTGCTGTATGTCTGATATATAACCACAACCTCTAAGTCCAAAGAAAATCCCTTGGTGTCCACATGTAGTCAGACAAAAGCACAATATTTCCTCCTGCAATTCAGATCACTAGATGTCATTGTAAAAATATTCTCCCATGTATCCCAACTGTCCTCCAGCTCCGTCACCTCCTATGACCACCAAAAAGTCCCTGGTTGAAGTTACCTCTCAAGTGTCGATCTCCAGACGGCCTACGTGGTTGGAAGACTCTAACATCCTAATCTACTCCCTCCTGGCTGTATCCATGGTGCTGCTGTTGGCTAGCTTGTCTCTAGCTTTGGCAGCCTTTCTGAAGGGAAGCAAGGCCAAATCCTCTAAGCCATCACCCTCAAATAGCACGAACCGCAAGCGGAAGTGTGGGGTCCAGCAACGCCAGGAGGTCGGCTTTCTAGGTTGCCCGACGGGGATGAACTCTACAGGTTAGCCATACAATCAATT